ATGAGAACCTGGGTAAGTATACACCAATCTACCTACCTAAAGAATATATGCGACAAGATTTGCTTATAATGGGTATCGGTTGAGTTGGAAGAAATGAAACCTTTATATGATTAGCTTCATCATTTGTGATCGTACTACCAATATTGAGCTGAATCTTCCCAATGCATTCTTGATCATCATGGTATAAAGGCCACCACCGAACTTTATCATTCTGCATAGTCACAAAAATCACATCAAATAACATGTGGATGGTAAAAAGGTATTGTTTCACCTTTAGCAAAATCTGACATTGGATGACAGGGAAGGATGCATACTGTGGTATCAGTCAAGGATGAAATAGGAATTGTGGTTCGACCTTGGACTGATTTTTTCGTGTCTTGAACTTCCACCATCAGAGCATCCACTTGACTCTCTGGGAAACTGAAATTACATGGAATGTGTAAGATCTTCTCCACTTTTAACATAACATAATTTTCAAACTGTAACCAATGTCCCTTGAAGGGCTGACATACATTTTGGTATGGTACATTATGCCACAGACAGTACAAAGGCAAATTACCAGCATATCCATTAAAAAGAAGGATCAAAATGTAACTTACAACATGAGATCAAAATAGAAACTTACAACACATGGTAATCACCACTTCCGGGGCGCAAGCAAATTGCTGAACTTGACTCTACTTCAGTGTCTTCAGTGGCACTACTAAGTTGGAATATGCAGGAAAGTGTCTCTGCACACACTAAAAGATAACTATCAATCATCCATCCATTGAAACACAGGATTCGTATCACAGGACATAACAAAAGATCCACCAAGGGATGCTACATAGGTATATTCTCATGCTTATCTTAATCAATAACAAAAAAGCTCTAGGCTTGTAGTAATATATATATATATATATATATATGTAGTAGATGGTGCCTTCATATTTAGTATTCAGAGAAAATTTGATTTAAGAACAACACCAGAGTTTTTGTAGAGCACAAACCTTCTGTTGTAACTGATAATGATGACGACTTTAAAGAACTTATGCCAGTTTTTACTAGTGATGAAACATGTCGAACATATTCTGCCCCTGCTTGTATGTACATTGCACCTCTCTGTGAATATGTGCTCTTCAGTTTCCTTCTTGGTATTACTCGAAGTTTCCTCACTGCCATCATTTAAAAACCACATTAAATTATAAAATTTAATGTCGAAAATAAACCTAACATCCTAAGATAAGATTAAATAATGTTAGCATAGAAACCATCTATTACTTTTAAGAAATAGTTAAGATAGCATTTCATACTTTTTGGCCTCCGAAAACAGTTGTATATAAAGCAATTAATTGAATTTGGTAAAAGAGCGTTTTGAAGTTCAATTCCAGTTAATTTCTTAAACTGAAAGTAACTTCGAGCCCATTCGTCAATATCTCACTTATAAAGTCAATTCATTTAGAAGATCGCACCTTCAACTCTTATCTTTCCAACCACCTTCTTTGCCTTCGGAGGAAAAATTTGGTCTGCATTCCTACTCGTCTTTGCTTCTACCGGTTGCACACCCCGGGGTTGCAACAAAAATGTGTTTAGCCTGTATAATCAGAGTTTAAATCTGAAATTCCCATTCAAAGCCCGAGAACTAGCCATGGCACTTCAAAAAATAAAGTATCCAGCATTAGGAAAAGGTAGCTAACCCAAAGGCATTCCGAAGAGCCAGGCACTCATCTCGTAGAAATTCGGGTGCCTCAGTGCAGCCTCTTGCCCATGCTTGTAGGCATAAGCGTATACATGCCTCGTGTGTGATCAAGGTTTGCCAGGCATATTGGCCACTGCAATGATGAATTGAGATGCCATAAAAAGAATGAAAAAATATGGTTTTTCAAATTTCAGAATGACAAAACTAATATACGTGCAGAATCTTTTGGATCTAACTGGGTTTTACTCGATACGAATATATAATCATAATCAAATTTTTGGAAAGGCAACTCTTTCCTTGTTCAATGTAGAAGTGCAAACACAGTTAAGTTCTTACTGATAAAACAATAAAACTCCACTAAAACCGAAGTAGCAGTAAACAAGTATCTGACTTTATATGAAATTCAACATTGGATGCACCTGGTATTATAATAAGCTGAATGGTCTAATTGGCTGGCTTGCAAAGAAGGGATTCTTGTTTCTGTCTCTCCGTCTATGCTTTTGTTGGCTCTGCAGAAGACAATGTTAAATTATGCGAATTATCAAAAACACAAGAAAGAAACAAAAGAAATCAAGTGAGAGTCACAGTTCACAAAAAAATACTAAAACAAGGAGCAAACCGGTCTTTTTGCAGTACCTGTCACCAAGTTCAGAAGCTTTGAAAGAACTAGTATCCAAATCTGCTAAAGCGTCTACACTCCCATCAAAACCCATTGATCCCCTTGATGGGCAATTCCAATTTTCAGCTCCATTGCTCTCTGCCAACCCTTGACAAGCTTCTTGACCTTGACTCTCAACCTCAAAGCCCTTCTCGTCCCTTGCAATTTCAAAAATGGGAGGCGCACTTGGAGTTCCCAAGTCTGCTGAATCTCTGAGCATACTACATTCATCACCACTTGGGGTAGTACCCTGCTAAACAATCACCAACCAAGATTCAAAATCACAAACAAACACTTACGGTCTTACCCACTACAAAAAAATAACTGAGAGTTATAACTAAAAAGACCAGCATCAAGGCCTACATTGAAATTACGAAGTTGAGCCCTTTTCAGAAGCTGATTGCCAGCACATGGGGTCGAAGTCTTCGGGGCACATCTATTCTTGAAACCCACCTCACCATCCGTAAATCTCCTGCAATTTCCAGGCAATTCAATCCTCAGACCCTCCTTCAACAACCCTCTATTCAACTCTGTGCTAGACTTGTTCTTGTAACCAAACACCTCTTCTTCTTCGTAGTACTGCTCCATCGGTTTTGTCTCTTCATCGAAGTAATTGGCAGCTGAACCATCATCAGAAACTGAAGCTACACTCTCGTTATCATCATATTCATTATCAGTGTCGCTGCTTAGACAAGAAGCTACCAAGCTATGAGGTGCGAGGAGGCCAGCGTGGAACTTGAGTGGAGGCAGAACATGGCTTCCACTGTTGGAGCTGAAGCGCAGAGGCGATTTTGGGTACGGTTCCGTAGTGAGTTTCTCTGAGAGAGGCGATCGAATAGCTGGTGGTGTTTGTTGTTGTTGCTGTTGTTGTTCAACAAGTAGCTCAGCCTCTGATCCCTGCAGCAGGTATTCAATTGAAATCCATAAAGAGCTTAAATACACATGAACACGCAGATTCAACATGCGTTTTTAGATTCGTGAAGATGAATTATGTATATGGTTTTTGAAAAGTTAAGAGCTTTTGGGATTTGGGTACCTGTTTGATCCACTTGATTGCATTTTCGTCGAGGCCTTCGGTGAACATTTTGCAGGGTTTTGGGAGAGAGAGAGAGAGAGAGAGAGAGAGAGAGAGAGAGGCTTTGTTGAAGAAGGAAGGTTGAGAGAGCTGAGATGGTGGAAGAAGAAGAAGAGAGAGAAAGAGCTCGTAGGTCGGTGGTGCAGAGGTGGGGATTTCGGCTGCCAACGGCTAGTTAGACTTTATAAATGTTTTTCAAACATAGAAAAGGGACCTTTTTCTTCTTTTAATTTTTCTAGGAAAAATAGAAGGGGGACTTTTCCTCATGTCACAATCCAACAATTTGAAAAATAATAAGAACAAAAAATATGATTCATTTAAGCTCATTTAAGCACAATCTGGCGATTATTTTCGAATTTCTAGATTTTAGTTGAAGAAATAAACAACTTAAAGATTTTTTTTTTCTTCAGAAAATAAGAGAAAATGAGTGGGGGAAATGCAAATAAACACAAGTTAAAATATTATTGTTATTTGCACTCTTCTTTGATGGAAGCTTTTTGGGGAGTGCTGTAATTTGCTGTATTCATCACAATGGAGAAGGCTCCTCAAAATTAAATAATCAAAACTATTTTATTTTATTTTATTTTAATAAGATCACCATCACATTGACCTGAACTTGAAGACTGGACCCTTTACCTTCACTCTATCTATGCCCACGTGGATCCAGAAAGAACATGAGATTTGCAATGGGAGCTTTTTCAACCCTTTGCCTGTTCCACAAGAGATTTGCAACCATATTGCTCACTTTTTGCATGTTCTTCTAATTGGAATTTTTATTATTATTGGAATATTAGTTTGGAATTTGGGTTGAGGATATAGCACCATGGAGCCACATTTACATGTTCTTCTATGTGTAAATTCGAGAGTGTAAAGCCACATTTACATCCTTTTACACCTCCGAAATATATACACCCTTATACATCCCACCATTGCAGGGTGTAAATTATATACACCCCTTTTACATTCACCATTGTAGTTGCTCTTATCTTGTATCCTAGAAAATTATGTAAATTCTTCTCAATGAATGAGGTTGTCAGCAAAGAAAGAAAATAAAAACATTAAGTGCATCATAATAACTGCTGTGCACCAACCAACACTAAATGAGCAAAACAAACAGAGAGCTGAAAAGCAAGCCATGCCTGAAAACCAGAGAGCAGTTTGGCATTAAATTCTTGGGAGGAGCAATGAAGAAGGTGAAGACAATTAATTACAGGAAACTAACTTAGTAGAGGCTTCCACGTTTCTCCTCTCATGCAGTAGAAATCAAAGGACTCTCTGCAATGCTCACCTCTGGCAAGCCCTGCTGGCATTGGCCTCTGCTGTGCTGCTTCTCATGTAAATCATGATCATCTGTGTAGACCTCCAATTCTGTGCTGCAAGGCCCTAAACCTCGGTTTTTTCACCTGGTTGTTGTGTGGAAGGAAATAACAGAGAAAGAGCTAGCTGTTTAAAGTTCAAACCAGTCCAGCAGGTAGACGTTTCATAGAGGGGGAGGAGGAGGAAGTGGTGTTCCAAATCACACATATAATAGTCAGCTTCTGCGGGCTGCTGCTCTTCAACCTCGGGAAGAAGAAGAAGAAAAAGAAAGGATGGTTGGTTGTGGTTTTGATTATTTTGGTGATGATGAGCAAGATTTTCAAGGACCCCCAACTCCCACCGTCACACAGAGTGATGACAGTGTTGTTGTTGAGGGTGAAGAGGAGGAGGAGGAGGAAGAGGAAGAAGAAGAAGAAGAAGAGGACCTTTCTCATGATCTTCAAACACCTTCGGTTCTGAGTTCGAACTTCAAACCTCGCCTTCGATGGACTCCTCACCTTCATGCCTGCTTTGTTGATGCTATCAATCAGCTTGGTGGCCCCCATAGTAAGCAACCCATCTCCCTTGGCTTTGTTGTATATATATATATATACCTATGCATACACATATATAGTATCTTGTCTTTTTTATTATTAAGAAGGGGGGCAAAGCCCCAAGAAACAGACTACACACCCTGGTCTAAACAGACCAATCTAGAATGAACAATTCCAAGCAGATCATCAACAAGATAAGCACTTAACCAACTAGGGGCCTGCTCAAACACGCACAGACCAAGATCCGCTTGATAACTCCAATTAGCCAATCGGTCAGCAACAATATTCTTCTCACAAAAAACATGCTGAAGGGCACAACTGGGAATCTGCTGCATAAGGTCACAACAGCTCCTAACCAAAGCAGTTAAGGGATGCAGAGCAAGCATAGAATAATTCTGACAGAGATTGACTGCAATAGCTGAGTCCATCTCAATAATGAGGCTACTGATGCCCTTCTCAATTGCTAACTTCAAACCAAAAAAAAGACCCCATATCTCAGCCTCAAGAACTTGACCTTTTCCCAGATTAACAGCAAACCACTTACCCAATCACCAAAAGGGTCACGAATAACTCCTCCAGCACCAATGCAAGCAGTAGCGCTTCTCCTTGAACCGTCCACATTCAGTTTGAACTGTCCAGGCCTAGGAGGCTCCCAGGCAACATGAATTTGAACTTTATTTACCCTTATAGTGCGATTAGAAGTTGACTTAATCCACTCTTGGGCTGCCCCACAAATAACTTGTCTTACCCTTATAGTATCTTATTTTCAGTCATCTGAACATGTCACATATTACATTTGCAGAGGCAACTCCGAAAAAGCTTCTGCAGAAAATGGGTGTCAAGGGAATAACTCTTTACCACTTGAAGAGCCACCTCCAGGTCTGTTTGATCCATTCACTAATTGATGTTATTTAACGAGAAATTCTTGTTGTTAAGTGTTTGATCATTGATGCGTAATCATATTGCAGAAATACAGACTTGGAAAGTACTCGGTGAAGGAGTGGAAGGAGGTTCCGGAAACTTGTGAGTTCTCAATCAAAACTAGCAAATGTAAAAACATACCTCTAAACGAGTTCTTTTGTAAATAACTGAAGAAAAAATTGTGCAGGAAAGTAAAACCCAAAAATAAAAGAGAGGGGGGGGGGGGAGAGAGAGAGAGAAAGTAGTTAAACAACTGATGTAGTGATGAAAAACTAACTTGTGAATTGTGAATAAAATATCATGTTTTTGAGCTGACTTTAGATTTTCAGTACCACTAAATGAAAGAGACCTCAGTTTCACAGGACTTCGAAGGCAGAAGCGTTAGTGGCACTTCCGTGTGCTCGTCGCGATCCCAGAAAAAGTATGATTTGCTCTGCTCCTTTTATCTCCACTAAACATGTCTTTCTTAAGAATTACAATTCCATTTTCAAGTGCATTATCTGCTAAAGGCTGTGATTTTTTATTTGTGTGGGATGTGTCTCCATACATAGGCATTCTTCTAAACTAATAAAGAAAGCTCTAACCCAGACGGAAGTTGAAGAAAAACTTGGTCTGCAAATTGAGGCAAGTTTTCAAGTTTGGAAATTGATTTGGGAACTTAAGCTGATAAATATGAACCTTGTTCTCTATTCTTTAGTTTTTTGGTGGCATGTTGCAAGAAAAACACAGAGGGGTAAAGTACTGATGAAACTTATCCTCACTACACCATAATTTTGCAGGCTGAGAAGCGATTAAAATTGCGTCAGGATGCCGAACGAAGATATATGGATTATGCACTAGATAATGCATGTAAAAAGCTTGCTGATCAGTTTCTTGGAAGTGTTGCAGTAGACTCTGCAGGCGTATTTCGAAAGGATGTAGCTGGTTTAGGAACTATGGTGTCAATAATACCTCAGAAAGATCAATTCCTTGCATATGACATAACTAAGGAAACCAGCATGCTGCTTAGTCTTGAAGAGCAACTTGGTGGGTTTGAAGCTCAGAGGGAAGCTTATCACGAAACTGAAGGCCACCTGATCTCACATGGAAATTCAGAAAATTCATCTGTGGAAGATTTCCAAATTCTTGCTGATGATGACAAGATAATGGAGCAGAGTTTGGATAATGACCCTGCAGAAGCTTACTTGGTTTTGGATACTGCTGAAATGGGAACCTCCAGTCATAGAACTTAATTTCATCAACCCACATCAACATGGTGTGCTAAGGCACTCTGGATGAAAGAACAAAACCACCTTTATGTTGTTTGCTAGTGGAGTTTCATAATTTAAGATTTTTGTTCTGGTATAAAACTTTGGCAGCTTAGTTCTGCTTGTTGCTAGTGGTTATTTCTTTTTTTGACTGCTCATGGCACTCTTGAATGTATTCAAGGTGCTTTGTTACTATGGACTATGGAGTCAATCATGGACTTTTGGGCATGGTTATATACGACCGGTGACACTCAAAAATCTTTCCTAACCATAGGTGTGAGCATGGGTTGAGTTGGGTCGGCTTTAATCTCAATCTGTAACTCAACCCAATATGTAGCTATTTATGATTTCTTAGATCCAAGACCAGCTCATTATTAGGCTAACTCAACCCAATCCAAACTTTTTGTGATTGGATTTGGCAGTTCAGTCAAGTTAACTCAAAATTAAACATACTTTTAAGTTTTGGTTCAAATCTTTGGTTCTAACCCGTACGTAGCAGTTTATGATTTTTTGAATTCAAGACTCGCTCAATTTTAGTCCAACCCAACCCATTATGACCGGGTTGGATGATTCGACCAAGTGGACCCAAAATTGTGCCCACCCTCAAACCATGGACTTCTTGGCTCTAACGTTGTTGAAATCCACCCTATCACCAGTTGTATACAACCATGGAGATGAAAGATATAGACAGATGATTATATAACGGTGGTGACAACCAAAATCTCTCCTGAAGTTGGCAAGCTTCACTAACCAATGAACAGTGGGACTGTAGGAGCCTGTAATTCAGCCTCCGACTAAAACAAAACAACAGTTAACTGAATTAAATCCCATAAGGAAACATTAAAGAGGTGTATCAAATTTAAAAATTTACCAGCACAAAATCAACCGGTTGTTGGGATTCGAAAGAATTATCCAATTCACCTTTCTATTCAGATATGAAATAAAAGATAATACAAGGACTGAAGGTCCACGAATTACAACTTTCTAGTAGAATGTGATTAAACTAAAGTAAAGCGCAACACTAGTGAAGCAGTAAGAAACCAAATCGGATATGTGTGGGGTGAAAGGAGAATCTGCCGCTGATCATATCACAAGCGAGGCAGCAAACAGAAATAGGTCTTCTTGCCATATAATCAGAAAGCCTCTTGAGATGCTGCAATACAATCAGCTTTCAATGCAACCAAGTAAAGACTAAAATGAATAACCAAAAATACTTCTTCCTACATAGCAGACTCATTTCCCAACTGTTTGATGAAGAATTCCAGCCAACACTCTTAATCGATCTTTACGGATGAGAAGAGGTAATGAACAAAGTAGAAAGACATGAGAAAGCCAATTGTGCCAGTTGACAACATGATTGCAGTTGCCATGATCAATGAATAACCAAGGTAAAGGATAGCCGACACAGGCCCACTCAAACTCTGCAGGTCAAATACCAAGTAATTGATGGAGTACAGGAACACATAAAGGGAAACAGAACCTGAAGCAAAGAAAGCCTTCCACCACCACCTCCAATCCTCCACACAAAGATGCATGTAGGTGAGAACCACTGAAACTTCAGCACAAACAATAACCAACAACAGAAGCACTATAAGCAGGAAACCAAAGACATAATAGAACCTCCCAAGCCAGATGCTAGAAAGGATGAAGAAAAGTTCAATGAAGAGGGTTCCAAATGGAAGTGTCCCAGCGCCAAGAACAAGAAGCCATGATGGATATTTGCGCGCAGGAATTTCCCTTGGAATCTGGTTGGTTCTCACAGGATATTGAATTGCCTCAGCTCGTGTGCCTAAGAAACCTCCGAGAAGAGTGAGAGGCACTGAAATGCAGAACCAGAGGGACAAGAGTACAAAAAACAAGGAAATGGGAAGTGCACCAGTACTATTGCTGCCCCATAGAATGAAGTTCAGTACCGTAAGAATAAGAAAGACGATTCCAGGAAAGAAGCATGCCACAAACCAGGAAACTGATCTCCACCCTTCGGAAGTTCCCTTTATGGTTCTCCACATACGGACAGCAACATAACCGGCAATAATCCCAAGGAAAAGATATAGAATGATCATTCCTGTCAATAGCATTCCTCGTGAAGCTGGCGACATGAAACCAAATGCTGCAAAAATGATAGTGACAACTGCCATCCCTGTAATCTGAACCCCATCTCCAACCATAACACAAAGAAGCTTTGAAGAATCTGGTTCTCTGAACACATCTCCCACAACAAGCTTCCACCCAGAGAGCTCCTCATTCATCTGAGCTTGAGATTCTTTGTCCAGTTCTTCATATCTTGTTAAATCCCTCCTCACAGTCCTTAGGAATATGACAAAGACAATACCAGCAAGGAAAAAGATCACCATTAATGAATTCAAGATAGAGAACCAGTGCACACGAGCCCCCTCCATCTTCAGATAAGCATCCCACCTTGATGGCCATCTTATATCACTTTTCACAAACTCAACCTCATAAGTGAATGATACTCTCTCTTGCTCCCTTATTATTTGAGACTTTTCAAGCTCTGAGGGGCAATTTACAGCTGGGATACTTTGGTAGATGGATTTTTTCTTCATGGTGTCAGGGTCGTATTTAATGCTACAAGGGTAAACCTCAAAGCCAACAATCTCATACCCAGATGCCTTTTTCTTTTCAGCTTCGGAAATGACACCCGGACCTTCTTCCCCAGTCCCAATTATCTGCACACCACTCCCTTCATACTCGTGAATCAAAACCCTGAACTTCAGGTGATTGATTATGTAATCATCTTTACTGTTGGGTGGAGTGTACCCAACAGGAAACCCAGTCCACTGAATCTTAACCCCATTTTGGTAAGCATATCTCATCGCCGGCAAATTATCAAGGATCATGTTGACCTGATACAGATCACGGGTTCTTTGTTTCAGCAGCTTTACGTCGTGCTCAGTCAATGGGTGTGTGGTACATAGGTAAACAGTTTCATTGACATTCATTTTAAATCGGTAAGCGGAGTTCTCGATCTCATCTCCCATGAGGAGTTCCCCGAGATTCTCAGCGCTTTTCTTGATACCTTTAGGGGGTTTGCAATAAGGGAGACTGTAGTAGCTGAAGGGCAGCTCAGTCTCTATAGAAGTTAAGGAGTTAACTTTGGTAATGATTTCTTGCGCTTTGGAATATGTATGCATGTAGCTTCCCGGGAGATAAAACCCATTACAGGTGTGCGCAAATAGAGCCAAAACAAGCAAAGTCCATTTGATATAGGTCACTCTCGGATTCGATATCGCCATCAAAATCGAGAAAAATAGCACTCAACAGAGGTTGGAGTAAGCAGTGGATCTACGCTAGTCTTACAAATGCATTCAACAATAAATCTACACAAAGTTTCAAAAAAAAACCCAGTATCAGCCAACAATAAAGAATTAATTTTTGAGCTGGATTAGCAAAATAACCATTTGGGTTAACAAATTAGAGCATGAAGTTGTTTATTGTTTGATTTCTACTCTCCAACCGCATCAGATCCACTAATAACAGAGCTTAAACAAGCATATACTCACTCAATCAGATCCGATTATTAAAAACAAAAAAAACAAACAAACAGAAGCAGATCCATGAATTCAAATATTACAACTTGGAATTATAGATTTCAAACATGCCATGGAAGATGTGAGAAAATTGAAGACGCACCGTAATAGATCTGGAGCAAAACTTTGAAGGGATGCTGAAGGCTGTGTGCGTGAGAGCGAAGCTCAAAGTCTCGGCGTCCCCTTCTTTTAAAATTTTATGCTGCTCCCATTAGAGCAAAGGGGTTATAGAAGGCATGACGGAACCAACTTTGCTACGGAAAAATGGTGCGAAAGGAGATGAGAATAACTTATTCTCTACGCGCTCATATTGGTATTGTGAAGTAGGTTGGGCCCCAGCCCACTAAAGTTACATTGGATTTTTTTTATACAAATTTATAAATAAACCCAATCCTAGACATGTATTTATAAAAAAATCCAAGCACTATTTAAACATAGAAACACACCCAAAATCAACTCCAAAATCAACAATTGTATATTTTTTGGGTGTGTTTATAAATGGGTTTTGAGTGTGTGTAATGATGGGTTCTGGGTGTGTTTATAAAGTGTTTTGGGTGTTGGGTTTTTTTATAATTTCAGCCCCCATTTTGGGTGTTTTAGTGAAACTCCCTTTTTTTTAAAGGAAAACTTATACTTTTTTTTTGTCAAGAAAGGAAAACTTAGATTGGATCTTGAATATCTGGGTGTGTGATTTTCATTTTTTTATTTTTTTTATGTTTTTTATTTTTTTTTATTTTTTTTTATTTTTTTTATGAGCTTGACTGATTGAGATCTGAGACGACTTTATAATGCTTTATGGTAAAGAAAGTGCACTGTTATCATGATTATAGTGGTTAGAAATATCATTGTTACTTAATGTTTTGTTATATGAAACTTAATTTTTGTCATAATTACATGCTTATAAAGTAATCTTGGCAATGAACATGTCATCAAACATGCTTATACATCAGTCTGACATGAATCTCATTTTTGGGAAAAATGTGATTAACAATATTGTATCATGTACAAATCTTTGGTTTGCAATTACTATACTTGGTAAGAATGTATAATATGAATCTACTTTTCCCTTTTTTCTCCTTTTTGGTAATGAGATTATGTGCTTTCTAATTTTACTTCCAATTCATAATGCCAATTATGTTTTAATTATACCAACCTTGTTTTCATGTTTCAGTTATCAGATATACCATCTTCCAGCTAGAGGTTGTGGGTTTATTCTGGCGTTGGTGGTGAGAGTAGTCAATTTCTCTCTAACTTTTAAAAACCAAAAAAGAAGAAGGGAATTAACTAGTTATTTAGACTATTAGTCTCGTGTTCGAATTTCCGTAGCACATTGATAGTATGTGTATGTGAGAAACCACCCTCCCCTTATAATTTAAACTATCTTATTCAAAAGAAGGCATTAACTAGCATCAATTAGGGTTCTAAATAGCTCTTTTAACATGTCATTTCTTACAGAGAGTCACAGACAGATAATAACAACAAATTGTTCTCACATAATCTTACAATGAGATAGGAGGAAGAGAAAGAGGAGAGAGAGACCCAAAGGGTCATCATATTCCAAGCAACCAAGATATATTGTACAAATCTCTGTCAATGGAACTTGAGGCTGGTCAAGACGTTGTTGTTCACAGGGTCAGCCAAATGATCCAGAAGGTTCTGGAAGGGCCCCACACCAGTCACAAGGCCTTGTATGAAGTAACCCAAAATTGCCAACATAGCCAGCCTCCCATTCTTCACCTCCTTGAGCTTCAAGTCCTTCAAAGACTTCTCATCTTTGCCAAATCCCAGAGGGTTGAAGAGGGGCCCACCCGGGTAAGCTGGGTCCCCTGAGCCACCCAAGTACTTCTCCAAGCCCAAAAAGTACTGCTTGCCCATGGACCCTGGATTGGCCCAGTCCTGGAACCTCCTGTGCTCTGCAAAGCCCATGAGGGCTAGCTCGAAGACAAAGAGTGTGTAGGGGTCAGCCCAGTAGTTGTAGGTCCCAGCTGGGGGGATCACCCCTGTTTGGAACCAGGGGAGGGCTGTCTCTGGTGGGATTAGGCCAAGCTTTCCAAGAATCTCTGGTGCTATGGCACCAATTGCACCCAGCATGGCATAACGTCCATTGATGACCTCTCCATACGCTAGCCATCTCGGCTCAATGAACCCTCCTGTGCCTTCTGGGTCAGACAGCCCCAGTGGATCAAATCCAAAGTCACCAGGAAGGCTGCAAAGACAAATTCAACCATTTTCCAAATTAAAGTACTTCATTTAAGTGATGCGCCCAAATGTTTTAAGTACTTCATTTAACTACATGTTATCTGTGTTATAATATGAATGCACGATAAATTCATATTTTAAGGTATATATGAATAACATGAATGAATCACTAATATCACGTGACAGTGTTAAGATCAAAAATAATTTCATAATTGAGAATCTGTATAAGAGGGCATGCACAAAGTATTACCTGCCGTCCAAGTAAGTAAGGCTTTGCTTGGATGCAAACCACAATTGTCTGTCTGCTCCTTGCTGAAATCAAAATGCAAAGTATAAACAAAGAATGTTAAGACTTGTTTGTAAGATTGATTGAGCTTCACTAACTAACCATCAATTTGCTACAATATTACATACCTTAACAGGGGGTGTAGAGGCTGCCCTGACTACAAAGGAAGCAGATTTTCTTGACCCAAATGGAGATTGGACTGCCTTTCCTCCTAGTAAATGCCTTGCAGCCTCCTTTGAGGCTGTTAAAGATGAAGATGATACCAGAGCTTGTGTGGCCATTTTTCTCTTTTCTTTTCCTCTCTTGCTCTCTCTCTCTCTCTCCCCTCTACAAATCAAATATTTGCTCAGTCTCAAAGGCTATGAACTAGCACAAGTAATATACGAAGACAAAATGCATGGGCCAGGGGCCACCAAGACTTGTGGGCACTGTGGCATTGAACTCCTGGTGGATATTGGAGCTGTCCCCGGTTTCAGATTAGGTTAGGATCTGATTGCCCAACAAATATTGGACACGTGGCGTCATTACCTGGATAAGGGATATTGCAAAATTTCATCGGATACACTCACTTAGAAACTTGATTTAGAACATATTTTGGTAGTGCCTAACATGTGTATACATGAGTTGGAATGAAAGACATTTCCAATAACATGGATTATTTAGCTACAAATTTGAATTCATGTTTTCTTTAATTTTGCTGGAGTTGTCGAATGTTTTAGCTCTACAAGTTTTCAACGTACTCAACCTTTTTTTATATTAGAGAACTAGAAGCTCAACACTTCCAGCTACGGATGAAAATTTAAATGCCTATGCGGACTCTTTTTCGACTATTTTGGAATAAATAAATATGTTCAAATATTTATTCGATCCAAATAATCAAGTTTTTTCACATCATGCAACAATTGTTAGGATTGTTAAGTTTCCAAACCTCGATAAAAAAAAGGGTTGCCGAAACGAGTCATTTTCGTACAATGCCCTAACTAGTACTAAAGCTATGTTGGGGCTTACAACTCTAGTGGTAGAATACTTGTTCTCACATCCATAGTAACGATTATAATTTCCCTATTACTGATTCTGTATAATCATATTTATATCTCTTTTCCCTATATAATAAATAGACACATAATTGTACACAACTGAGCACACTCATCATTTTATCCACAATGAGACTAGTACTCAAGGCATGAACCACATATATCCATAAAATAAAATAAAAATAAAATAAAAATAGGAATGGCGACAGATTCATTTCTTATTGGGATCATCTAAAGGCCCAAAACGTAAACAACAACTAGCAACAAAGTTATATGGGCTTGTAAAATGAAGCTCCACCATCAACCAAAATGACATTGCAGGAGGCTCAACAAGAATATGGCAGAACAGAATCAAGACCCAAGACCCAATTGCAGAAAAAAAGAAAAGAAAACAAATTCAAAGGAAACAGTCTTATGGGCCCATTGACCTAAAAACAAAGGTAAAGTGGGTCCCAATCTTAAAAGCTCGACCGCAGAGGATCCAAACCCTTAAAATATGTTTCATTTTCGTCCATAAAGCATAAACCCCTCACCTTAGAGGTTTTGTTGCTCACTTCCTCGCCTCTCTTAAACCCTACACAAAATCAACCTTAGGGTTTCTCTCTCTTCTGAAAACCCTAAACCCCTAATTACACCCCAAAGATGATGACCACCATCCTCCGAAGGTCACCTTCCATAGCCACGGTGCGGTCCTTCGCCGCCATCGAAACACTCCTGTTCAACCACCATTCATTTCTCGCCGCGTCGACGCCCGACCTCGTACTCCCCGCAAATGGTGCTCTCGGCGGTGAGGCTAGATCCTACACAGCCTCAGCGCCAAAGCCGAAGCTGGGTCCTTCCTACGGGTTTCAAGTGAGGGACTTGCACGCGAAATCTGGGCCGTTGAATTACCGGGCGTCGACGGCGCTGAGCGCCGAGTTCGCTGTTGATTACTCGTACGACGAGTCGTCTAAAAAGAGCGGCCAAGATGATGGACTCGAGATCGCGAAGCTAGGGATTTCTCAGGACATTGTATCGGCTTTGGCCAAGAAGGGTATCACTAAGCTGTTCCCCATACAGGTGATTTATCATTTCCCTCTTGTGTGTTCTGTTTGTTTGATGAGAAAATGATTGGAAAAGAAGAAATCTTTTGAATTGATTTGTTTTCTGTGTTTATTAATTATTTGTTTGGAGATTTTGTGTACAGAGGGCTGTGCTGGAACCCGCGATGCAAGGGCGTGATATGATTGGTCGTGCTCGAACAGGAACAGGGAAAACTCTTGCTTTTGGGATACCCATCTTGGATAAAATCCTTAAATACAATGCCAAACATGGGTTTGTTTCTGCAATCATACTCATTTGTTAGATTAATAGTGTGCTCCGGTAGGGATAGGGGTTCTCAGTAATTACTTTATAATTTCGCCTTTTCTACATTTTATTTTTTATTTTTGGGGTTTTCCATTATGGATCATGATTTATGTTTGATTATGCAGGCGTGGGAGGAACCCTTTGGCTTTGGTTTTGGCTCCAACAAGGGAACTTGCAAAGCAAGTTGAGAAGGAATTCCATGAGTCGGCACCTGGCTTGGATACAATTTGTGTTTATGGTGGTACACCCATTTCAAGTCAAATGAGGCAGCTTGATTATGGGGTTGATGTGGCTGTTGGCACACCTGGACGTGTAATTGATCTTATTAATAGGGGTGCTTTGAATTTATCGGAAGTTCAGTTTGTTGTCCTTGATGAAGCTGATCAGATGCTCCAAGTGGGATTTCAAGAGGCCGTTGAGATTATCTTAGAGAAGTTACCGAAGAAACGTCAGACCTTGATGTTTTCTGCAACAATGCCGGGTTGGATTAAAAAGCTTACTCATAATTACCTGAAAAATCCAGAAGTGATTTGTATCTTGTAAGTTTTTTTTTTTTTTTTTTTTTTTTTTTTTTTTGTCCTTGCCTACTGAATACTAGGACCAGAGCATAGGCAATGACATTGCCAGACTGAGGACAAGAAGCGTAAAACATTACTTTCTCCGTTCCATAATGGTTTTAGTGCTTAATGGTGTGACCTGATGGTTTATATGACCGACAAGGATAGTTTTGGTTAACTGTATTAATAAAAATCGCTACTTGTCTTCTTTATTTGTGCCTAGATATCGAGTGAAAGTTGGCAGAAATGGAAGATTTAATTTAATTTTTTTCTAAAAAGGTTTTGAAGCTAAAGTGGAGGCAAGAAAGGTTTCTTTTTGTGCATTTTTGTTTGGTGACATGAAAACTACTGGTGTATAGTTTTGAGTGAGTATAAAGGTTTTACACATATTCATCTGATCATGGTTGCAAACTAACAAAAACTGGCATGTGCTGTAGGTTGGGGAGTCTGACCAGAAATTGGCAGATGGAATTTCTCTATTCTCGATTTCATCAGATTCATATGGAAAAGCATCAATTATTGGACCACTTATAACAGTAAGTAATTGTAACCTTTTCAATTCTTGGTCTTACCCTTTCCAACATCTGGTCCTTTCTCACCACCAGATATGTGCTTGTTAGGAACACGCAAAAGGAGGAAAGTGTATTGTTTTTACGCAGACAAAACGTGATGCTGATCGATTGGCATATGCCATGTCAAGAAGCTATAAATGTGAAGCTTTGCATGGGGATATTAATCAAACCCAGAGGGAAAGGACCCTTGCAGGTTTTCGAGATGGGAATTTCAATATTTTAGTTGCCACTGATGTCGCTGCTCGCGGGCTTGATGTACCCAATGTTGATCTGGTGAGATTTATTTATCCTCTCATTTTGTGTAGTTTTATGTTAATTTATCTTTGTGGCTGTCCCCGAGTTGTTAATTACTAGACATTATTCTTCACTAATCTAGTTATTTTTATTAGCGTCTGTCCTTCCCTTTCATTTTAGTTTTTCATGAGTTGGTTAAAGCTTTTAAATGCTCTACTTAGGTTAGGCCCATATATGGTTTTGGATGCATTTGAAAGTGATAATATTATGCAGTCAAATTAATGACGAGGAATTCTACTGACATAAATTCTTTCTTCTCGTTTTCGGCGTTAGGTGATACATTACGAGCTTCCAAACAATTCAGAAATATTTGTTCATCGGTCAGGCCGAACAGGTCGTGCTGGGAAGAAAGGAAGTGCTATTCTTGTTTACACACAGGATCAATCCAGGGCTGTCAGGACTATTGAACAAGATGTAGGATGCAAATTCACTGAGGTAAAGATCAATTTCTTGTTTATTTGTATCTTCCTTTTTCGGTGTTTCTCTTTTTGGTGGCAGCTGCTCACAGTTTTAAGGCCTTTTGAGATTGAGAGTACACATATCTGATTTGGGTTATTAAGTGTTTGTGGGTAAATTTACTATTAATTAATTTTAATAGGTTAAATGCCGAAAGTGGCTTGACAGTTATATGCTCAGGATGGCTTGCATTTTCTTGTTAAAGTCGAAATCAGTAATTACCAACTTCACATAAACAAATAGACATTCCCATTAAAGAGTTGTGTTTCTGCTAAAATGTTTATGTGCACTTACATGCATTCTGCTTATGTGATTTTCTTCGTTTTGAGTCAAAGCCTACCACAGGTCTGACATATTCCTCTCCAGTATTGTGTGGGAGCTTCCCAACACTTCGCATGCTTACATAACCTATAAATTGGAATTTATTTCTTAGCAGAATATGTCTGTGTTTATGTACGTAGCATGCTAAACTGATTATCTGATTGCTATGTGCTCATCAGCTCCCTCGGATTGCTGTTGACGGCAAAAGCATAGACATGATGCCCGACATGGGTAGGTTTAACACAAAAAGTAGTCGATTTGGTCAAGCAGGACCAGGATTTAGCCGTCCTGGATTTGGTCGTTCCAGTGGCTATGGTGATTCTTCTGGTCAGATGGGTAGATCTAGTGGACCCCGTCCTGGTCGTTTTGGTTCCTTTGGTGATTCCGCTCAATCTGGAGGTGGGTTTTCTGGATCTGGCTCAAATCGAGGAGGAAACTTCGGTGGTTCAGGTTTTGGTCGTTCAAGCGGTTCAAGTGGTTTCGGAGGGTTTGGTAGTTCTGATCGTTCAAGTGGTTTCGGAGGGTTTGGTGGTTCTGATCGTTCTGGCGGTTCTAGGAACTTTAGTTTGGATCGCCAGAGTGGATTTGTTGATGATAATTCTAGCCGTTTTGACACCTTTGGTGCTGATGATCAAAATGCAGGGAGAAGACACTTCTGATTTTATTGAACGGTAAGTCTTTTTTATTCATGTATTCTTTTTCTTTGTTTCCCATATAATTTGCTGGCTCAATTGGGTTTCTTTTAATTGACACATTCCCTTGTGCTACTGGCTCAACAATGTTGACAATTCCTCACACTAGTGTCTTGCAATGGCAGTTAAGAAGATACGATGACGGGTAGGAAAGGATTACCAAAAACAATTGTTTATTTTCATGGATCGAAGTCAATTAAAGGGGGCGTTGCTGCTTAGTGGTGCACGGGCTTCAGCACCTGTGAGGAAGTGCCTATGCTTCTAATTATTCCAAAATATAAGTCTTTAGATGTTTTTCTGTTCATATTAAGTTCCTAAATTAGAGTATGAAGCGAAATTTATCATAATTCAGATATGAAGAAGAGGGCTCTCACATGTAATTTGTCTTTTAGTATTGTGTTATGTTACAATTTTTGTCCTTTATTTGAGGTCTTTTTAATCCTTGAGAGTGTAGTGTAGTGCTAAAAACTCGACAGTGTTTTATGATCAGGTCCCATAAAACACCCCAAGGATTGTCTCTATAATAGAAAACATGTTCCCACTACTGTGGAATGACTATGAGCACCAAGTCTTCGCTTTGTTTTTACCTCTTTCTAAGCCCCTCAGCTTCTACTATAATTGACACAACCTACGGCCGATTTGGATTCACTCCTAATAATTTACATAATACTAAATGGGAATTCTATTCTTCTTTTTTCCCATGTTTAGTTTCAATAATTGCCCTCGAAGGTTAAAAAAATAAATTCCAACCGAAGCAGCAGCCCCTTTCCTGCCCTGCTGACGGAAACCGCCACCGCCATTCCTCACTGGTGAGCCCCCTTTCCTCATAGAAGGGGAAAGGGGAAAGAGAAAAGGAGACCTTTGTTGAAATGGCTCTCTCATGGTTCAGGTTTCTCTGGGAAATAGAATTCTTAAAGATTTCCGTTATAGTTTATATTGAGAATGTAGTTAAATCGGAGTCTTCAGCGTTAGTTCGAACTCGCTTTCCCAAATCAATTGAAATTTGGTATTGGGCTTTAGGAACAATACATCACTATACGCCCAAAAGAGCAAAAAATAATAGGAATATTTAATTGAACTATTAGGAGATTAATACAACGTTTCATCCTATGAAAACCCGTCAGAAAAGCAAGGGACAAACAACAGCATGAGATTGGCAAAACAAAAATGAAAAAAAGTAACAAAGTAAGAACCAGTACATGATTTACAAATCCCAAGGACTTCAATGCTGTCAGGCGTTGAAGAGCTTCCTGAAAGGCCCGTCTTTCCGATCTTTTGCAGCTTCGGTTAACGCTAGGAACCTCTTGAACCCTGTTGTGGCTGCACCTCGCCCGAGTGCAGCTGCTCTGGTTAGCACGTCATCTCTAGAAGCAATAAGTCCGGCTGAAGCAGGATTTGATATCAGAGCAACTGTAGGGGCAGTTGGGAGAGGGATGGGTGGGGCAGCCGGTGGTGGGATAGAAGGTTGTGTAATTCCGGGCCCATGCTTGTTGAAGTCCTCTAGTATGCTTTGCTGATCTGCCTTTTTAAGACCCTGCAAAACCCATGCTCAAATTAGTTCAATTAAAGACATAGAATTAAGCCTGATAATCCAACTCGTAATTCTGTTGGAGAAGACAAAATTTGTGCTAAATGGTGTGAACACCGCTTGTATAGAGTACAAAGCACCCGTTCTATGGAGGGGCTTAGTAAATGTACACTATGCACAGAACAGAAACTGCACTGCTCTAATGCAATGTCTGCTCAGGCCGGGTCACCAATTAGTCTTGAAAGTCAGTCTCCTAGAGTTTCTTAAGGTTTTGACTTTGGTTTGATTAATGGAAGGAGCAAGAATGTCTCATGTGAAAAACAAATGAATGCAAAGAGGAAAGGAGGAGTTGATCATGACCTTGAGCTCCAGAATTCGCTGAAACTCCATGGGCGTTCCCTCTGGTAGCAATGCCCGATAAGTATCCGCAACAGAATCAATTGGGGACAGTATGACCTGTATACAAAGATAACATAAACCTGCTTCAGAAAAGAAAACCAAAAGCTGTCAGAAAGAGTACCAACAGACAGATCATCTACCTTCAGAAGTGCTTCAGCTTTGCTCATCTCACGGCTTACAAATTTTGAATAGCTAGCAGCGCGTGAAGTCTGTTTGAAGAATTATACTGATCTGGTTAACAGGTTTGATTTGTGTACCATGAACAATAACTAATCAATTACGATGAGTAATCATATATCAACACTGCACTGACCTGGTGACCAAGGGATGGTATCTCTAAAAGAATTGTCTTTACAGCTTGAGTATCCAATAGCATCTGCAATAAGAGCATCACATGAACCAATCACAAAAATTACTTCTGATATAAACTAGAAAAATGCTCGGAGATGCAAGAAATACACTTGATAATTGCATAAGAAAGATAACCTGAACTAAGAAAAAAATTTCAAGGTGAAAGTCTGACTGATTGACTTCTACCATGAGGTAACATTTAAACTAATTAGAATTCAATATTCAAGGGAAATCCTCGGTATATGTCCCACAATAATATTTGAGAAGCCTCAAGGTGTAAACTGTGCGTCCCTTAAAAGCAAACACTATATATACTTGTTTTCGTTTCTTGATAAAAACAAAATTAGGTTTGAAAGGAAACAAAGAAAACTTTAAGGAATACAGTCCCTACTTGTTGAGCTCCAGTTTCTGATATTTGCTTGCATTTGAAAATGTTAGCATAGAAACGTGGACCAAGGGATGATGCAAGCTGCAGAGATGAAGTTAAGAAATCAGAATACAGAGCTAAATTACAACTCCAAAAGAGAGATTCTCCAATACACGTCAGTCCCTTGTAATACCTTGTCCAAGAAAAATTGGAAGTAAATCGGTGAAAGAAGGCTTCCAAGTATAGGAATACTACTAGCAAGGATCATATTAATGCCATTAACATACCTGCAAAAAGGTGGATGTGGTCACTTGTAGAGAGTGTATAAAACTTTAATGTGAAGGATCAAAATTTTAGATTAATGCTAGCTTACTCTGATTGGTCACCAACGCTTTCAAGCGAACCCCATGGAACTCGTGTCATTGCAGCCATTTCAGCATCAAACTTAGTTTCCAGGCCATGCACCAGGGTTACCAATGCTTTTGTTATAACTGCTGAAAATTCATCCTGTACAATTGCAATACTCTTGTAGATAATGAACAGAAATAGATATGCCATAGGTCATCTTTTTATAAAATATCCTATACCTGCACTTCTGACATATCTACCCCATCTGCAAACTGAGAGTCAATTATCTTGGATACACTTTCAGCCAGTTCACCAGACTGCCAAGAATTAAACACAAATTACCAAGAATGTAGAATAGCATTCATTCTTGTACTATAATTGTTTATGCATATCATGTGAACACTGGATTCAATGCTACTACTAATCCTAAAATAATGACACCTATCAATAGTTTCAGAAAGAAGACAGCCATGCCAACAAACTTGGATAGAGAACTAAAAACCAAACAAAATACTGACAAAATTTACTACACCTAATGTTTAAAGAATAGGCTGATCAGACTAACAGGGAAAGGTCCACATAACACATTATGGCAACATATGAATGCAGTCAGGTGATGCACACAATAAGCAGTGCAATCATTTTTCACTTAAGTTCTTATGACGGTATGTGTCTCAGACACCTTAAATTATAGACTATATAATGTAAAGCCTCAGCCTGTGCCTTTGTTAGCTTTTACTTCTTTAATGCAAAAAATAAGGAAACACATCATACAAACGGAAAAATCTAGTCCTTGTTATCCAGAAGTTCCAATCAGAACAGTATTTGCGGTAAGTTGAGACCAGGCATGACAGCTTCACATGCATACGTGAATCAAGTTAACACTCAATATCACAGAGAAGTTCCATGTCTCCAGAAGAACTGCTTACCGTCTGATGGCAGTATTCTGCTGAGTTGACAATATAACAAATCACCCTTTCATCTCTGTCAGATGTCTGCTAAATTGCATTAAAAAAAATAGATCTGCTCAGAAAAACAAGAATTTTTTGAAATAATCCTGATAGTAATAATTGGTCCCTTGATACCTTTATCTGTCCGTCCATACCAGTTGCTGCTGCAACAATTCCTGTACCACCTTTAGGTAGTCTTGCAAAAAGCTTTGTAGCATATGCTTTGAGTATCCTTTGAAACACCTAAACTTGGAAAGAGGCATATATCATATTCTGGTTAAACAAAGATATAATCTTACTGTTACTGTACTTAGTCACGTCAAAAGTCCAGGGTCAGTCAAGCAAATAGGTCTCAAATGGTATGACCATGAGACTAGAGATAAATGTCTCATCCACGATAGCCACAAGGAAAAACATGCATTTTTCTTCTAATATTTGAAGGGTCAGTAAAACAAATAGGTCTCAAATGGTATGACCATGAGACTGGACATAGCTATCTCATCCACAATAAATGCAAGGAAGAAACATGCATTTTTCTCATAATATTTGAAGGGGGTTATTATTCATATGACTATTGAAAAACAAAGATTTTCTCGTTCCATCTCATCAACAGGTATTATAATTACAAAGCAATATCTTTATACCCAGTCAAGCAGTGGTACTGAAAGATTTTTCAGTTGCAGCATCATACGTGTTCTGTATGCGGTCACCAAATTGGGATCTTAAAGAATGAATTTAAAGAATGCACCTTGAATAAATTAAATAATGTCTGGTTCTTTGTTAAAGCGCTGCATCGCTTTAAGCTCCTCTTGATTATGAGAAACAACTGAAAGACCAAAAAGGGCAACCAAGTCAATGCTATTGAACATCATTAAAGTGTGCATTCCAGAATTTCTGGATCGACAGAAAACAATGAGTATCTAAATGCTTACCTGCATGCTACTTGATAAAACATTATTCTGACTTCCCTCCTCAATATCCCATGTTTCTTCCTATTGGAAAGATGATAAGGAAACCCTCATTC